TCCCTTTTTGTGACCCTTTGGGTCTCTCTTTTGAGGGGTTTGTTGTATCGGAACAATGTTACAAATTCTCATATTTCCGAGGTGTATAAACAGAAATTTATCGAACTCGCTATTTTCAAATTTTATACATAAAAAAGTATGGTTTCATTCGTTCTTGTGTTAGTTGGTGCGTGGGAGATTAATAATCATTCTTTTACTAGTTCGATGTATAGTCGTCAAAGTTATAGACCGGTTCAATCCAACCCAAGATATCAATGGTCCGTTGGATTATAAATGTAACACCCCGGTTTCAGTAATACGGTAATAGAGATTCGTTACAAGAGAGACGTGGGCGTTTTATACCTTGGAGTTAATGGATGAAAAGAATCAAGTGTTTAAACCATTCTTCTTCTCCTGTAATTGATTCCTCAAGTTCTTTGGAATCAGTCAATTGATAACAAAAACTTGGTTTGGTTAGAATGGCCCATCTTAAAACTTGTTTCTATTCTAGAATATCTACATAATATTTGTTTCTTTTCTAGAGCAATAATTGGTCCCAGTTTCACTTTCACTGAAATATTTTGCAAAACACTTTCACTAGAATAATTTCATGATTCTAACAATTTTAAAAGGGCTAATTTTTTTTTTTCCTCCTTTAAAAAGGGCTAATTACAATTTTATTTTTACAAAAAAATTTACTAGTATAGGCAGGTTAATAGGTTTTACAAAATATGTAGTTTTATTATAGTTATGATTTGAGAAATGAATTTTTTTAGGTTAATAAAGAGATTAGTGGATAAATTTATTTCTGGTTTATAAAAGAAAATATATTATTTATTCAATTTATACCCACACTGAAAAGATAGTAATAGAATTTAAATATTTAGTCGATAAAGAAATAACAGATATCTAGTAATCTACACATAAATTGAATTGAATATCGAGTTCCATTTGGACCTACAATAGGCCACCGGATTATTAACACACTTTTATCAAATCTGCTGGTCCCTATGCCTTATCCATACCGTAATGATATTGCTATAACACATTGTGGCTATTTAAAAAAAAAACTAGATCTGGACCCGCACGAACGTGCGGGGTAAATTTTATGAAATTGCAAATCTTAAAATTTTTAAACTAAAAATAGTAAAAAAATTATATGAAATGTGAAAATATTATAGTTTTGATTGATATAGAGTAGTGTTACAAAAGCAATTTTATTTATCGTGGTTTATTAATAGTTTGGTGTAAATGGATAAAATTATGGTTAGTGAAGAGTTGTGTGTAAATGTTTTAAAATAATTGTGTGTTAACCATGGAAAAACACATGATAATTTTTTAATTGTTGTAATAATAATTTTCTAAATTAATCTTTAAACTGATTACATTATTATATGATCTGACAATTTTAATGTAGTGATACATATGTTATTTTTTATGTAGTGGGCAACATTTTATAGGCTACTAATAAAGCCTTATTAGCCTAATATATATTTACTGATTTTTGACATTATTATATTTAATTAAAAATAAATCAAAACATGAGATGAAAGTTTGGATTGTCTAGGGCTTATGAATTGCATTCAACTCACAAAATATTTCGAGATTTTGACGAATCTAAAATCTCTAATTTATTCGAGGAATATTCTATATTTCAAAATACAAAATATCTAGTTTATATTATATTTGAGAAATATAATAATTGTTTCTTAAAACATTGGAATAATCAAATACGCTTTTTATTTCTTCCATCTAAACTAATCAAAATTAATCAGTATAGTTTTATTATGGAAATTTTAAAAATCAACCATAAATTATGCTTTTTTATTTTTTAATTATATTAAATTGGACTGTCGCTTCCGGAAATATCCAACATTACCTTGCCAAATTAAATAAGCTAACATATCTACAATTTCAAAAAACAATTCTTCCATTAATCAGAATTGATTAGTATATTTTCTTAAAGAAATAAATTAAAATCGAAAATATATTATGATATTAAATTGATTTTTTTGTTTCCGAAAATATTTCAAAATATATTACGAAATTAAATAAGTTTAGATTGTTTATGGAAACTACTTTAAAAGATTTCTATAAATATTGGGTAGTTGTTAATTTGTTAATTTTATGGGAACTACTTCAAACAATTTCCATAAATATTGGGTAGTTATTAATTTGTTGATTTAATTTTGGATTTTGTTTTATATAAAAGAAAACAAATATCAAATGGACACAATAGAATTTTCCGATTATTTTTGTTCTTTTTCAAATTCAAAAATACCAATGGCATTCTTTGGAATTAATCTACCAAAATAAGGTTACTTATGTTTGAGTGATTCCCAATTAATAGTATAGATTCTAAATAAATTAAATGCAACAATAATTTTTTTTGTCATCATATTAATTTTATTCAAATAAGTAAATAGTCTAAAATGACAAACAGAGAATAACGATATGAACGATAGCGAGGCCACTCCAGAGGCTCTGGAGAGCTTTAACAGCAGCTCTACAATCAGACCACATTTCCACGTACAGTATCAAGATGAAGATTTTTCATACTATTAAGTGCTCATAAGATACATCTCAACTCAAAATCAACAGTAATTTAAATGTGGTATTTTCGAGAATCGTCTTTTAACAAAATACACAAAATAAAAAAGAGACGCTGCAAGCATGAAATGACGATAATCGAGCATTACAAATCTCATGATCTCTATATGCCCTAGTCCTTTTAGATCAATCTTGTCCATCATTGATATAAAGCAAAATAAAAAAAAAACCCATATACGTGTTATGTATAGTTTTTTGGTATTTATGAAAATTGAGTGTAATATCTTATGAGTTTCATACCACTACTATCTTACGAGTTCTAATGAAATTTATACTTCAAAGTCAAAAATATCCAATTTATATGGCTTCTATTATACAATAAGGAGAAGAAGAGTGCATTTGATTTTGGAGACTTAAGACGATCCTTATTGGTAGTCTCTTAGATGAATCTTAGGTATTAATATGAATTTAATCAAATGGTAAATGTTGATATCTCTTAAGAAACATCTCTTAATTAAGAGACAAAAGATAAGGTAAGAGGCGGACGCGTGGTCGCCACCCCATTGGTCGAAGAAGAAATATAAAACGGAAAAAAAGAGAATCGGGATTCTCTCTCTTCTCCTCTTCTCTCTCTCTCTATTTTCACGCGTTTGTTTTTTTGCTTTGGCGACGAAGGAGACGATTGAGTTAAATCTCCGATATCTCCGATTCACCGCCGTTTCTGTCCTCCGGCCGACCTACCAGAGTTATCTCACCATCTCCACCGACGCGTGGTTTCCACGGCGACGAGGAGAAGCTCTAATCAGCGACGAGGAGAAGCTGTAATCGTAGATCTAAGCTCAAGATCTCTAATTTTTCAACAAATCGGAGTTAATCCTTCACAACTCGGTCATTTCTGGTATGAATCTCTCTCTGCATGTTCGATTTGATGTTATTTGAGTGTGGGGAGATAAGGGTTCATAGATTTGGGGAAATTAGGGTTTTTTTTTTGTTTATGTAAAATTAGGGTTAATCTTGTCTGTATGTATATTTAGACATGATTTTTAATAAGGTTTACACCAATTACTCTTTGATTTAATCTGATTGTTTGTGTTGATAGTTTTTAATCCGATTGTTTGTGTTGATGAATGTTTCGATTTACACTTTGATTTGTTTGATTCTATAATTTGTGTCTGTTTTGGTTTTTATACGAATGAGTGTTAGATTTCTTTGAGATATGTGTGTTAAAATGATGAGGTTTTGATATAGATTAGGTCAGTTTTATTTTGAGGTCATGTATGGAGATGAATTGATGCTTTTAACACATTGTTTGTGTCTGTTTTGGTTTCTATACGCATGATTGTTTGGTTTCTTTGAGATTTATGTGTTAAAATGATGAGGTTTTGATATAGATTAGGTCAGTTTTATTTTGTGGTCATGTATGGAGATGAATTGATTTCTTTTAACACATATGTTTGTGTCTGTTTATGTCTGTTTTAACAAATTCCTCTTGAATTTGATTAGTTTCCCTCTTGAATTTGATCAAATGTTCTCTGTTTGACTACGAGGATTATATGGAGATATAAAGAAAGATGGAATCTGCTACATATGATTGGAGATTTTATGAGAGAACTCAGAGGAGTATTACTCCGGATTAAGGCCAAAGATTAGGATAAGTAATAACCGTCTCTTCTTCCTTAACTGATTTGAATATTGATGATATATATTAGATGAGACTTGAGTTGTGTGATTAGTATTGTTGCTTGTTCATTAAATGCATGTAGATAACTGTCTCTTCTTTAATTGTTTGCTTTGTCTCTGTTTGCGTTTAAGTGGATAGTAAATGATGATTAGAAATGCATGTCCATCTCTGTTTAAGAATTGAAATGCAAGTCCTTCTCTGTTTTGTGAGTGGATAGTAAATGATGATTAGAAATGTCTTAAGTTTAGTTTAAGTTTTTAGTTGCTTGCATTTAATGCTAACTACACAACTAACACTTTTACCTAACAGAAACTTATAATTACTAAAACCCATCAAAAAAACACAACCCTTATATAACCGCAACTTAAGACCTATACCTAACACAAACCACACCTCTTTCATTCCCCTACTAAAACACTCAGAAACTCAATCTCTCTTCATGAATCCTTTTACTCAATCTGCTGGCTTCTTAGACCTCTTAACCAGTCAACAAGAAACCCCATTCCTGCAGCCCAATGGCTTTGAGAGAGATTCACTAAGTATTGAACTTTGTGAATCTGAAGTCCCTGTCTTCAGCACCCAATGGTCTGAAGCACCAAGTCAAGCTGAAAACATTCCTGCTATACGCATACCAAGAAAGAGGAACAAGTGGACATCCAAAGAAGATGTGGTGCTCATCTCTGCTTGGTTAAACATAAGCAAAGATCCCATAGTAGGTAATGAGCAAAGAGGAGAAGGTTTTTGGAAGCGCATTACAACCTATCAACCTGCAACAACCCAGATGACAAGTGGGCAGAATGATGATTATTTGATGAAGCTACCTCATCAGATTTACGAGAGTGATTAAAAGAAGAAGTTCATGCTAGAGCATGCATGGAGAGAGTTAAGACATGATCAGAAGTGGTGTGCATCACATTCTACTAAAGAGACTGACAAGAGTAAAAGAAGAAAGGTTGAATTCGGTTCTATACATTCTTCTGAAGCTTCCCAAGTCCATGGAGAGTCTGAAGCTTCTCAAGCTCGTCCACCTGGTGTGAATGCTGCCAAGGGTAAAGGCAAAAAGACTGCCAACAGTTCACCAAATGTGGAAGTAGAAGGGCACACATTGGAAAGGATTCAGATTTTGTGGGACATAAAGCAACAAACTTTTGCTTTGAAGCAACAAGAACATGCTTTGAAAGATAAACTTACCAACAAAAAATTGCTTGGATTTCTTTTAGCGAAATCAGATCCTTTTACTGAAATTGAAGAAGAACTAAAAACCAAGCTAATTAGAGAGATTTTGCTTTGAATTTCTTGCTTGTATTTCTGTTTATGTTTATGTTTCTGGTTGTCTTTGTGTTTATGTTACCAACAATGTAGTTTGTGTTTATGGTTCTGTTTCATATGCTAAATGATGTTTATGTTTCATATGCTAAATGATGTTTATGTTTCAGTTAGTTTGTGTCTTCAAGTCATATTTTGTAAACAAACAAAACAAAATATTTTGTTATCACTGTTTTGTTCTCTGTTTGTATATTCTCTGTAGGTTCACGTGAAAGGAGAAAAAGAAAACAAAATGATGGACACCACAAGTCTTCTCCATAGGTTCACGGACACCACAAGTTTCACTTTACTTTGTACCACAAGTTTTCACTTTACTTTGTACGACAATTTGTCACTTTGCTTTGTACACCATGTATTATTTCGGAAGCTTTGCTATAAATATCACTCTGTAATATCACATGTCTTCATTCTCGTTTTTTCTTACAAACTCAATACAAAAAATCCAAACCAATACCACAAGAATTTACTTGTTAATAAACCAAATCCAAGCCAAATTTTACTCCAAAAATAATTACTTGTTCTTATACCAAATCCAAACCTTCATATTTTATTTTCACACCAATTTCTTGTTCTCAAACCAAATCCAAGCCTTCCTTTTATTTTTGCTGAAAAAATCCAAAAGATTCTACTTCAAACCAAAAAAAATCCAATATTTTATAAATAGAAAATGATATCATCTTCCCGTGATAATTTCGAAGAAGCGTTGAACAAAGAATTTGATAATATTTTCGAGCAAGAATTGGATAATTCTTTGTACAATTACGATGATCGTCAATAAGCAGCAAAACTGAAGAAAGAAAAAAGTCTATATTGAAAGACATCGTGAAGAAGGACACATCCAGTTATAGAGCGATTATTTCGCGAAAAATCTAACTTTCCCTCCTAATCTATTCTGACGCCGTTTTAGAATGAACAACCCCTTACTCATGGGTATTTTTGTTCGACTCTCCGCAGAAATTTCATACTTTCAACAAAGAAGAGATGCTACCGGAAGGTACGGTTTCTCTGCACTACAGAAGTCTACTACAACAATTCGTATGCTTGCATATGGTTGTGCGGCTGATGCGGTTGACGAATACCTCCGGATTGGTGAAACCACTTCGATGAAGTGCGTGGAACATTTTGTTGACGGAATAATTTTTTTGTTTGGAGATGAGTACCTACGAAAACCCACAGCAGAAGATCTTCAACGGCTGGAAACGATCGTGGGTTTTCGTAGGTACTCATCTCCAAACAAAAAAATTATTTTGTCAACAAAATGTTCCACGCACTACATCGAAGTGGTTCCACCAATCTGGAAGTATTCGTCAACTGCATCAGCCGCACAACCATATGCAAGCATACGAATTGCTGCAGTAGACTTCTGTAGTGCAGAGAAACTGTACCTTCCGGTAGCATCTATTCTTTGTTGAAAGTATGGAATTTCTGCGGAGAGTCGAACAAAAATACCCATGAATAATGGCTTGTTCATTCTAAAATGTCATCAGAATATATTAGGAGGGAAAGTTGGATTTTTCGCGAAATAATCGTTCCATAATTGGATGTGTCCTTCTTCACGATGTCTTTCAATATATACTTTTTTTTTCTTCAGTTTTGCTGCTTATTGACGATCATCGTAATTGTACAAAGAATTATCCAATTCTTGCTCGAAAATATTATCAAATTCTTCGTCCAACGCTTCTTCGAAATTATCACGGGAAGATGATGTCATTTTCTATTTAGAAAATATTGGATTTTTTTGGTTTGAAGTAGAATCTTTTGGATTTTTTTCGGCAAAAAGAAAAGGAAGGCTTGGATTTGTTTTGAGAACAAGAAATTGGTGTGAAAATAAAATATGAAGGTTTGGATTTGGTATAAGAACAAGTAATTATTTTTGGAGTAAAATTTGGCTTGGATTTGGTTTGTTAACAAGTAAATTCTTGTGGTATTGGTTTGGATTTTTTGTATTGAGTTTGTAAGAACAAAAGAGAAAGAAGACAGGTGATATTACAGAGTGATATTTATAGCAAAGCTTCCGAAATAATACATGGTGTACAAAGCAAAGTGACAACTTGTGGTACAAAGTAAAGTGAAACTTGTGGTACAAAGTAAAGTGAAACTTGTGGTGTCCGTGAACCTATGGAGAAGACTTGTGGTGTCCATCATTTTGTTTTTTTTTTCTCCTTTCACGTGAACCTACAAAGAATATACAAACAGAGAACTAAACAGTGATAACAAAATATCTTGTTTTGTTTGTTTACAAAATTATGACTTAAAGACACAAACTAAATGAAACATTAACGTCATTTAGCATATGAAACAGAACCATAAACACAAACTACATTGTTGGTAACATAAACATAAACATAACACAAACACAAAGACAACCAAAAACATAAACATAAACATAAATACAAGCAAGAAATTCAAATCAAAATCTCTCTAATTAGCTTGGTCTTTAGTTCTTCCTCAATTTCAGTAAGATAATCTGATTTAGCTAGAAGAAATTCTAGCAATTTCTTGTTGGTAAGTTTATCTTTCAAAACATGTTCTTGTTGCTTCAAAGCAAAATCTTGTTGCTTTATGTCCTACAAAATCTGAATCTTTTCCAATGCGTGCCCTTCTACTTCATCATTTGGTGAACTATTGGCAATCTTTTTGCCTTTACCCTTGGCAGCCTTCACACCAGGTGGACGAGCTTGAGAAGCTTCAGACTCTCCATGGGCTTGGGAAGCTTCAGAAGAATGTATAGAACCGAATTCAACCTTTCTTCTTTTACTCATGTCAGTCTCTTTAGTAGAATGTGATGCACACCACTTCTGATCATGTCTTAACTCTCTCCATGCATGCTCTAGCATGAAGTTCTTCTTTTAATCACTCTCGTAAATCTGATGAGGTAGCTTCATCAAATAATCATCATTCTGCCCACTTGTCATCTGGGTTGTTGCAGCTTGATAAGATCCCACAAACTTGCACAAAATCTCGTTAATCTTTGCCCACCTTTGTTTGAAATGACTTTGTGCTTCAGAGCATTGGGTGCTGAAGACAGGGATTTCAGATTCACCAAGTATTGTACTTGGTGAATCTCTCTCAAAGCCATTGGGCTGCAGGAATGGGGTTTTTTGTTGACTGGTTAAGAGGTCAATGAAGCCAGCAAATTGAGTAAAATGATTCATGAAGAGAGAATGAGTTTCTGAGTGTTTTAGTAGGGGAATGAATGAGGTGTGGCTTGTGTTAGGTATAGGTCTTAAGTTGCGGTTATATAAGGATTGTGTTTCTTGATGGGTTTTAGTAATTATAAGTTTCTGTTAGGTAAAAGTGTTAGTTGTGTAGTTCGCATTAAATGCAAGCAACTAAAAACTTAAACTAAATTAAAGACATTTCTAATCATCATTTACTATTCACTCACAAAAGAGAGAAGGACTTGCATTTCAATGTTTAAACAGAGATGGACATGCATTTTTAATCATCATTGACTATCCACTTAAACGCAAACAGAGACAAAGCAAACAATTAAAAAAGAGACATTTATCTACATGCATTTAATGAACAAGTAACAATACTAATCACACAACTCAAGTCTCACCTAGATCAGTTAAGGAAGAAGAGACAGTTATTACTTACCCTAACCTCTGGCCTAAATCCGGAGTAATCCTCCTCTGAGTTCTCTCATAAAATCTCCAATCATATGTAGCAGATTCCATCTTTCTTTGTATCTCCATATAATCCTCGCAGTCAAACAAAGAACATTTGATCAAATTCAAGAGGGAAACTAATCAAATTCAAGAGGAATTTGTTAAAACAGACACAAACAATGTGTTAAAAGAAATCAATTCATCTCCATACATGACCTCAAAATAAAACTGACCTAATCTATATCAAAAATTCATCATTTTAACACCTAAATCTCAAAGAAACCAAACAATCATGTGTATAGAAACCAAAACAGACACAAACAATGTGTTAAAAACATCAATTCATCTCCATACATGACCTCAAAATAAAACTGACCTAATCTATATCAAAACCTCATCATTTTAACTCATAAATCTCAAAGAAATCTAATACTCATTCGTATAGAAACCAAAACAGACACTAATTATAGAATCAAATAAATCAAAGTGTAAATCGAAACATTCATCAACACAAACAATCGGATTAAAAACTATCTACACAAACAATCAGATTAAATCGAAGAGTAATTGGTGTAAACCCTATTTAAAATTATGCCTAAATATACAGACAGACAAGATTAACCCTAATTTTACAAAAACAAAAAAAAACCCTAATTTCTCCAAATCTATGAACCCTAATTTCCCCACACTCAAACAACATCAAATCAAACATGCAGAGAGAGATTCATACCAGAAATGACCGATTTGTGAAGGATTAACTCCGAATTTGTTGAAAAATCGGAGATCTTGAGCTTAGATCTACGATTGCAGCTTCTCCTCGTCGCCGATTAGAGCTTCTCCTCGTCGCCGTGGAAACCCCGCGTCGGTGGAGATGGTGAGATAACTCCGGTAGGTCGGCCGAAGGACAGAAACGGTGGTGAATCAAAGATTTAACTCAATCGCCTCCTTCGTCGCCATAGCAAAAAAACAAACGCGTGAAAATAGAGAGAGAGAGATAATGCAGCGGTAAGATAGCAAAACAAGGTTTCAAGGATCAATGGATCTTGAAACAAGGTTTTGTGCTCTGAATTCTTTGTAAAACAGAGAGAATTCGAAGACTTCAATTTTGAGGAAAACCTCTTTTCTTATTCAATAAAAACCAACTCTCTTAAGAGAGATTACAAAGCTTTATATAGGTGTCAATAAACCGTCATAGGAACACTCTAAAACCTAATTGCAGAGCTCAAAGAAATAGAAATTAAACATAAAAGGAAACTTCAAACATAAAGGAAAACATCTAAAACGATACGACTTGTGAATCACGTAACGAGATGACGCTACATCAGGTCTCCCGGAGTGAGAAGAAAATTCGACCCCGAATTTTGACTATCATTAGCATCATCTTCAGCAATAAATGGGACCAAATGCTTAACATTAAAGACGTCGGCTGTGTTCATGTGTGGAGGAAGCTTGAGGCGATATGCATTGTTATTAATTTTCTCCACTATCTCAAGAGGGCCGATCTTTCTTGCTTTGAGCTTGTTGTAAGTTCCTGCCTTGAAACGATCCTTGGTTAGCACAGCCCACACGAGATCTCCAACCTTGAATTGAACGTCACGTCGATGCAAATCAACAGCAGATTTATACTTTGCAGTGGTTGTTTCCAAATTAGAATGAACTTGATCATGAATTGCAGCAAATTCTTCGACAAAATCACAAGCTCGACCATGAAAACGGGTACGATCTGGACTAATGGCTAGATCTGCAGGACAACGAGGTAAATAGCCACAAACCACTTGA